GTTTAGACTGGATGTTAGGAAAAATTTCTGTACGGAGCTTGACCTAAAGCACTGGAACAGGCTGCCCAAGGAGGTGCTGGAGTCACCATCCCTGGAAGTGTTCAAAAAACGTGTGGACGTGGCGCTTCAGGACATGGTTTAGTGGGCATGGTGGTGTTGGGTTGACGGTTGGACTTGATGATCTTAAAGGTCTTTTCCAACCTTAGTGATTCTATGATTAATTGTTACTTTCACAAAGAATGCATCATGGCATTTTTACTGAGTTCAACTAATGCAGACTCTGATTGTACCTTACTAAGGATTATGAGACTGTTCTGTTCTTTTGGGACAAAGCATCTTTGCCAGAGGGTCATTTTCATCTCCCTCCACCAGCCCCATTCTTTCCCCAGCATCTGAATTTCTGTGTAGACAAATTAGTTAGTGATATGTATCTTGGCTTGAGCGCTTTCAGAACTTAAGAGTTTTACATAAATCTGAATTACTTTTGATGCATTCTGTACCTTAAAAACTTGGCTTTATGACTATGTAGGTATACGTAAGTAGATGTACATTATGTATATTACATGTATGTTATATGTATATAACATTTTATATATGTGCAAACAGAATGATTTAATTTCCTGTGTTACCTAACAAGGTAGACTTTTTATTGTAAGATGAAATTTCATCTATTTATTCACATTTGATCATTATGTTTTCACAACTCTGAGTTTGTATACTCTTTGGGTAAGCCCTTTGAGCTACGGAGTGAGTATGACACAATTGTTACTTGCAGATTTGTTTGGTAAATGAAAGAGTACATAGATTCTGTCAAAAATTTGATGAATAGCAAATTTATGAGGAATGAACTGAAAATGATTAATCAAGGCTAGAAACAAAACACTTTCGGTGCTTGCTTATAGATATCAACTTAAATGCAGCACTGCTTACCACCACTATTGGTGCATCTAAACCAATATTCTAATAAGGCACAAAGGGGAATAATGTACATACCTTCTGAAAATGTGGCAACTAACGAAAGCTTCAAGCTGATGGGCAAATCCAGAGTTCATTTAACACAAAGGTCATTGTATGATCTCTGATGCTGGTTCATCCTTGATTTTTGGTTTTGTTTTGTTTTTTTTTTCTTCACTTGTAACTTTCTGTTCCTTGCTGACTGACTCCTAACAATACTCTAATATGACAGAATTTGAGCTTGCAAGCTTTTTGCTCACCACATTTCTTATTGGTGAGTAATGTGCTGACAGCCGGGACTCGGCTCTCTTCGCCAGCTTAGCTCACTGGCTGCCCCAGCCTTTTCTTCCTCTCTCTGTAATGTTTTCCTGCCTTTATTATGAGGGTTGCTAGTGCAACGTAGTGCTGTGTTAGAAGCTGCATTTGTTGAGCTCTTTATTATTAGTGACTCTGTAAATGTTCTTGTTTTTGTGTTTCTGTCTTAAAGAATGACCTAATGGTGAGGATTTGGCATTCTGTCTAGTAAAGCTGCAGTCTTCATCTGTAAATTTTCAGACTTAGCCTTAAAGAACAGCTTTGGAAAAAGCTCTCTTGTTTTGGCGGCTGACACTAGTGAAGGTTATAAGATACTAATTAAGGGTCTGAGCAGAGATTAATGCTAAGACTATTAGTGCTTGCTGTGCCTACCCAAGACAAGTTTCCTGGTTGACTTTGTGGTTAGATCACAACTTAAAAATGTGGTAGGTGAAAGACTTCTAAACACATTCAATGCATTATGTTTTTCTGAATATACCTCGTGTTTGCAGATAGAGGGAAGAGCTTCCTTATTCCCATCTCTTTGTTAGCAGATGAAGTTCTGCAGCAGGCCGATTAGCCCTTTGTCCATCCTAGTCTTAGAGCAGCGGTTGCAAACCAGCTGAACTCTCACTTCATTGTCAGCTTTATAACGTGTTTTGGCTATCCCTTGTTACTGTTCCATTTGACTTCAAAGTACTGTGGTATGTTTGATGGATCCAAGATTTTTTGTAGGGAATTTGAGAATACTTCGTTTCCATCTACTGAGAACATAAACATAAAGTATGTTTTAAAAGGTTGTTTAAAATACCTGGAAAGGAAAAGGGTGGAAATTTGGAGCGCTTCTGTAAAAGTGAATTTGTATTTTTATATGCTTTCTCTCCGACCATAAACTAAGGTCAAATAGCCTGACTTTATTTAGATTTAAATGAAGAGAAGTTCCTTGAAGGTAGCAGTTGTGGTCTGAGCATCAGCAGCTGTTCACAGCTTTTTTCTGTTCTGTATTAGGCACAGGAAATAAGTATGGTGGTTACCAACTGCTTTCCATTCTCAGGTGGCTGTTTCTTTTGGAGACTCCATTTAAAAGATCCTTTTGCTTTTCTGTTAGCCGTTTGGAAGGGATCACCAAAGTTCAATAACTTCTGTTACACTGTCGTCTTGAGAATGTCGAGTATAAAATGAAGCAGTAACAGGTCAGCTAATGCAGTTGCCCTGCTTGACAGCCAGACGCCGGTTGCTCGCTTAGGCTGCTGCTGATGTTTCAGTGACAACTTTGTTGTGCAGGGAAAGAAGTCATGTAGAAATGCTCACCAAGATCACCTGTGTGATCACCTGGTTTTAAATGACAGCACTTCTGGCAGATCTTCATCAGATTCTGTTAGAGTTCTGCTGAGCTTTTACTAAATTGTTACGGTACCTCCTAAATAGCTAATACTGCCTCTGGCCCTGTTCAGCCTACAGAAGACGTTGTTCTTGCTTGAACGTAGATCAGTTTAAAATCCATAGAAGTACCTGCAGCAGACGTGACATAGGTTAAGCTTTCAAAACCAGTTAACTTACTAGATAGACAAGTGACATAATATCAGACATCTGTGTGCATCATTATATATGTTTTCCTTTTAAGGTCTGTGGGGGACAAGACTCATGGAAGAAAGCAACACCAGCAGAGAGCGGTATCTGAAAAGTGTTTTACGCGAGTTGGTTACGTACATTATTTTCCTTGTGGTCTTGTGTGTCTGTAAGTACCATTCAGAATTAATGCATCCAGTTCTGTACTGTCTGCTTGCTCTCTGTGATTCCAGAATGAAGGTTGTTTCAGTGGTGTGGGAGAAGAATTAACGGGCAGGTGCGTAGGCAAATATTTGGAATTAAATCTCTTGTTTCTGTGCAAGGATTGTTGCTTGAGATTGAAAAGACTGCAACTGTGCCTCAACAAATTTTGAAACTTTAAGCAGGATGATCTATTTCTTTGTTTTTAGGGAGCTTTTTCTTAATGTAGTACCACATTGCAGTGTAATGCTTCTGCCATGCATTTTGAAATCATTGAACAGAACTGTTAAATGTGAAGAGTAGGAGTTAGTCATCTAGGACAAAAAATCACGTCACCGAGTTTCAAATTTTTCTCCAAGCTTATATACAGATCATTCCAAGAGTAAAAGTTCTTGATAGTAGCCGGAAAGGCAGAGGTAATGCTAGCTACTGAGAAATCTCTAATAATATGTGTTTGCGTGATGCTGGACATTTTAAATGCATATGCAGCCTGTATATACTCAAGTGTATATGGATCACAGCTGGAGACTTCCATGATTTAATTGTCATTTGTTTTGCTCTCTATGATATCATAAGAAGTATCGTAGCACTATGGAACACAGAACACAGTGACATTCAACACACACTTTCTTTATTTTTTTTGTTTCACTTGTAAGTACGTGACTGCTTTGAGGTAGGTGCTCTAGAATCAACACTGAAGATAATATTAGCAGATTCACCTAAATACAGACTTAGTACAGAAGTGAGGAGCTTGATGGATCTCCAGCCTCATACACAACAGTATTCCTGGACCCAAACACAGTTTAAGAAAGCAGCCTGGATGGAGTTCGCTGTTCTTTCTCAGGGTGAAGAACCTTAGTGATGCTGAAGCACAGGTAGTACAGGATGTTTATCACACAGCACCGTGAACAGTTGTGGCTGGTATAATCTAACGGTTCTGAGAGTGGTCGTCTTTTCTGGCCTTGGGAACCTGAAGCCCTTAGACAATTCTATTTCAAGATTTCCAGTGTTTTTTAAGTTAATAGTCAAAACAAGGCGTGTTCATATATTTGCATAAAAATTAGCAAGATGATGCAAAATAGAACTTACTATGGAGTTGTGAAATACATGTTTTATTTGGTTACTAGGGAGAATAACAACAAAATCTGTATGCTCTAAGTTGGTGTATCTTTGGAAAGCGGGTATGTTTCAAGTCTCCAATTTTTTAGTATGAGCAGTTTTGTTCTAAATGCCAGAAATTGTCTGTGACGCTTAAGTTGTCGTTTATGATCAGTTGCAACAGAACAAGGTGATGTTTTTATTTCTTGGTGGGAGAGAATCTTGGAGTGGAAAAGAAAAGGTAAAACTACACTGGTAGACTGGCTCTGAGAGCAAGTCTGTCTTGCTTGTCTGGAGTAGAATTACTGAAAAACCCCAAACTTTATACCATTGACACAACTGTTTTGGTGTTGAACTGCAAGCATGATTATATACTAAATAGCATGTTTTTTTCGTTCCCAAGTCACTTAAGAATGCTTACTGCTGGTTTATGGACAAGGTAGTGTAAGACTGCTTGTGGCTGGTATGCTATGCCACCAGGAGAGGTGTAGCAGTGAGGGACCTGATCAGCAGGAAAAGTTTGACTGCAGGCTGTTAACAAGTTGTTTTGCTATAGAAAAAGTTTTTTGGTAACAGAATAAAGGAAAATACAGTGTCTTAAATATCTACAGATATTGGTAACTCATTAGTATTTTTTAAGTACTATCCTTTTTAATTTCACATGTAAGCAATAACTATGAGACAGACTGGTCTGTGGCTTGGCATGCCCTAGGAGAGAGCTTTCCAGTGCAGGCTAAATGCTATGGGCATTTCTTGTACTCTTGTGTTTTTGAGAGTACATATTTAGACAGAATCCAGGTATTGCACAGTTGTGTGATACATTCCATGTGCCACAGAAGAAGTCTGTTAAAAACAGTTCTTGTTTTCTGGTTGCTAAAGAAAACGCATTTTCTTCCCTGTGATAAAATATTTTTATAAAATTGTCAAAACGGATGGAGATTGTTCAGTGTAGACTTATCTTTTAGGCTTTTCTGAGTTTTAGCCATAAAATGGTTTTACGTATTTATAAGCAATAACAGCATAAGTTCCAGAGACTGTTCTTTCAAGCCATCTTGGCTTTGTGTGTAGTTTTATAATTTACACTCTGTGGTCCTCAGCCAAATGCCTGGCCTAGTGTGAGGAAAAGAAGTAACACGCAACAATTTATGTTCTGTGGGGAGATTCTCTTAGAAGTGCTGCATATCTTGGGTGGAGTTTCGTTGTCTAACCATAGGTGGCTAAAGTCATTCAAGTTCCCTGTGACCATGGTTGACTGGTTGATGTGTCCTGGTTGACCATCATTATCTGCTCAAGCAAAGCATAGTTCTCCTGAGGTCTTGCACCATCCGTGCCAGCTTTCTATGGATGCCTTGGGTAGCAGAAGTCACCTAAAAAGGCACTAGCTGCCTCTCATCAGGCTGCTGAATCATGCCTTTGTTTTTCTTTTAAGTTAGCTTTTGTAGAAGCATTAATAATAGAATGAGGTATGGGAAGGAGAACTGAGTGTTTTAAACTGATTGATCAGTCTATTCTTCACTGCTTTTTGTATTTTAATCACAGTTGGCAGACGAATGCTGCTTGGTGTGGATTTTGTTTGTTCTGAAGCTTAAACTTTTCAGTTAAAAATCTATACAAATACCACCTGATATATTCAAAACAAAACAAGCAAAGTACTCTTTTTTTTTTTCTTTTTTCCTCTCCCCCCCCTCCTTTTTTTCCTCTTCTTTCCCCCACTCCTTTACCTCTCACTCCTTACCAAATCTTTTGCAGTGACTTATGGGACAGTGAGTTCCAGCATGTACTATTACACAAGGGTTATGTCGCAGCTCTTCCTGGAAACACCTGTATCAAAAATGGAGAAAACTGATTTCAAAACTTTGTCCACAATGGATGACTTCTGGAAGGTAACCTAAACCCAATTTTTTTTATCACTGTGTTGTTGTGATTTGCTTGTCCTGTCACAGCCTGTAAATTTAACCTGCAGGATCTTTTCTTCTAATGTGGTAGGCATGAAGATCTATGTGCACAATGTCAAAGCTATGGAACAAAATAGCCCTTTAATATGTGAAAGTTTAGAACCTGGGTAATCCTAGTGGGGCAGGGTAAGGCAAGGTTGCAGAATGTCTTTGGAGGACGGGTTAAGGCCTTATGTCAGAAAAATTATCAACTGCAATTCTAACATCCACAGAATGAATATCTATAAAAACAATGCCGGCAAAATGCAAACTAACATTCTTTCTTCTTTCCCAGTTCACAGAAGGCCCTTTGCTGGATGGTCTTTACTGGGAGATGTGGTACAACAACAAAACCATGGCAGAAAACAAAAGCTTTATTTACTATGAGAACCTGCTCCTAGGTGTGCCTCGCATTCGGCAGCTGAAAGTGAGAAATGGTTCTTGCTCAATACCTGAAGATTTAAAGGATGAAATCAAAGACTGCTATGATGTCTATTCTGTAGCTAATGAAGATACTGCCCCTTTCGGACTTCGAAATGGAACAGCGTACGTAGTATTCCTGTAGACGCACTTTTTTTTCCTGACCTGCGCTATGCTGAATTACACAATAAGTTACTTGGCAGAGGCAACTCTGCCTTTGCTGTATGTTCTGTCTGTAAAGCGAGGTAAATTCAGAGCAGCTGCCGGTTCTGCTTGTGGAGAAACCTTACCAAGCTTGGAGAGGACTGTGCTCTTGATACACTTGAGTTTAGGTGCTGTCCTTGTGCCTTTGGTAGCTGTTATGCATGAGAGACACGCTGCGGTCTGACTGCAGCACTGCAGCTCACGAGCACCTGTCCTGTAATTCCAGATTGTATTACTGCAGTGGGTTTCACTGGGTTGTCTTCTGTGGTGGGTTGGCCTTGGCTGGATGCCAGGTGCCCACCAAAGCTGCTCAATCACTCCCCGCTCCTCAGCTGGACAGGGGAGAGAAAATACAATGAGAAGCCTGTGGGTTGAGGTAAAGACAGGGAGAGATCAGTCATCAATTACCGTCATGGGCAAAACAGACTCAACTTGTGAAATTAATTTAATTTATTGCCAGGGTAGGATAATGAGAACTAAAACCAAATCTTAAAATACCTTCCCCACCACCCCTCTCTTCTTCTGGGGCTCAACTTCATTCCTGATTTTCTACCTCTTCCCCACTCAGTGGTGCAGAGGGATGGGGAATGGAGGTTGTGGACAGTTCATCACACGTTGTTTCTGCCTCTCCTTCCTCCTCGGGGAGGGGACTCCTTTTTTTTGGGCCTCCTCGCGCTCTTCCCCTGCTCCATTGTGGGGTCCATTCCCATGGGAGACAGTTCTCCATGAACTTCTCCAATGTGAGTCCTTCCCACGGGCTGCAGTTCTTCATGAAGTGCTCCAGCCTGGGTCCCTTCCATGGGGTGCAGTCCTTCAGGACCACACTGCTCCAGCGTGGGCTCCTCGCTCCACGGGTTCACAGGTCCTGCCTGTGTGGCAGTGCCTGCTCCAGTGTGATCTTCCCACAAGGTCACAGCCTTCTTTGGACATCCACCTGCTCTGGTGTGGGGTCCCCCACAGGCTGCAGGTGGGTATCTGCTCCACTGTGGAGCTCCATGGGCTGAGGGGCACAGCCAGCCTCACCATGGTCTTCATCACGGGCTGCAGGGGAATCTCTGCTCTGGTGCCTGGGGCACCTCCTGCCCCTCCTTCTGCACTGACCTTGGAGCCTGAAAAGTTGTTTTCACATATTCTCACTCTCCAGCTGCAAATGCTGTGTGCCAGTTTTTTTTCCCCTTAAATATGTTATCACAGAGGGGCTATCACTGTCGCTGATGGGCTTGGGCTTGGCCTTGGCCAGCAGCAGGTCCATCTTGGAGCTTCTAGCAACTTCTCACAGAAGCCACCCCTGCAACCCCCCTGCTACCAAAACCTTGCCACGCAAACCCAGTACATCTTCCCTGGTTAAAAATGGGAATAGCACTGCCTCTCTTGGAGGATAACGTCTGAGTTGAACTGTAAAAGTTTTTGGAGGTAGAACGTAACTATGCAAATACCAATTTTCTTTCTTTCCCTGAGGATAGAAATTCTGTGTGAGTGGATTGATGTGTTCTCTTTTCACAATTAATATACTTGTGACCCATCTTTCTATCTTAATTGTGTTAGTCAAAGGAAGGTTGTAAGCTCTTTGTCCAGGGTACATCAAAACTTTCTGCAAGTACCTCTTACATGAAAGCAGCTTTAAGTAACTGATACATTTTTTTGGTCAGGTTTGCTGCTGTCTGTTAACATGCTCTGTTTCACTCACTTCTGAACTAGTTGGACATACACCAATGAGAAGGATCTGAATGGGAGCAGCCACTGGGGCTTGATTGCCACATACAGTGGGGCTGGTTATTACCAAGACCTCTCAAGGACCAGGGAAGTGACAGCTGTGCAGATTGCTAGCCTTAAGAAGAACCTGTGGCTGGACAGAGGGACCAGAGCAGCTTTCATTGATTTCTCTGTATACAATGCAAACATCAACCTATTCTGTGTTGTCAGGTATGAACAGAACTGTGACAGTCTTCAAATTGCACAGTGTAGGTTGTAGACTTGGGATTTTCTTGTGACTTGCTTTGTTTTGAGGACATGGGTAAGCATATGTTTTGATAAAGGAGACTGACAACTGAAGTGACACGCCTCCTTGTCAAAGAAGTGGGACTCCACATGGTGGCTGCACTTGCCTTCTGAGGCAGTTCTGACTTTCCCGATGCCGCAATGGCTTGGGTGCCGTTTGCAGGTGACTTCTCTAGTGGGTTGGCTTATTAAAGTAAATACTTGGATATACAATATCAGTCTTTAGTTTAGGCAACATGAAACAGATGCAGATGGAGACAGATCTTTCTGTCTCTTATTTTTTCACTCTTCCTGGAAAGCTTTGCGTTTTAGTCAAAACTGAGTGCAGTCAGGTTTATACCTTCTGTTCTGTGTAGTGTCTTCTCTGAATCATATGTGGGCTTTTGCCTGTTTCCATTATTTGAATAATCATGTAAATAAAACCATGCATCTTTCAGTAGCGCTTTTCATCAACGCTGCGTAAATCAAATTTATTTTTCTTTGCCTTTTTTTAAATGCAGGTTGTTAGTGGAGTTTCCAGCGACTGGGGGCCTTGTTACGTCTTGGCAGTTTCAGCCAGTGAGACTGATTCACTACATCTCCACTTTTGATTTTTTCCTGGCAGCCTGTGAAATGGCATTTTGTCTTTTTGTTCTTTATTATATGGTGGAAGAGATCTTAGAAATTCACATTCATAGACTGCACTACTTCAGAAGTCTCTGGAATTGCCTTGATATCCTTATCATTGTGGTAAGTAATCTTTATAATAAGGCTAAAATTGCTTTCTGAAATGCACTTTGTGGGAGATGTTAATGCCTCCAAACCTGTTGTGGGTTTAAGGCATAGGGCCATCTTTAGGAAGGATACTTACAGACTACTGGGCTATTCAGTCTGAATAAGACAATTTTAGTCTGTGTTGTAATGTTGATGTGTTTTGTTAACTTGCTTGTTCTGTGTTTGATTGTTTTAACCTTCGCATCCTAGTAAAAAGTTAGAGTATTTGTCCAGTATGCTTTTTTCACAGTTTTTGTCTATAAAGGCACAGCCATTATGGGAGGTAACAAACGTGCCCTCATTACTCTTCTACATATCTGATACAGACTATTGCAGTGGCTTTCAAGTAAGAAAATAATCTGCTTTAAAGTAGTGATTTGCATTTGGAGGAACAACTGGGATTTGAATATGTTTGCAAAGAACCGCAAAGAGATTTAATGTGGTATTAAAATACTTGCCAGCTAATACCAAGTTTGAAGAAGTATCTCAAAATTATACAGTGCTAGCAGCTGCCAGGGCTGCTTTCTTGGTTAAGGAGGCAGTGTTGCACATCAGTAATCTTGGTGTAGCCAAAAATCTGAGCTTTGAATTTAAGGCTAGATAATATAATTCTCTCTGGACTTATATCAAGCTGTGCTTACCAAAAGCATAGAAAGCCAGCAGTGCTGAAACTGTTCCAGTCCCACACTTGTTTTCTGTCTTCAGGCTTGGATGAATCAAACATTTAAGTCTTGAAGTTAGTATCCGTAATCTAGAGAAATCAAACTTGCATCTCAGTGCTTTGTAAATTAAGGACGATTTAGGAGATTGTTTACATGAACTGTGCTCTGTTTGTTATACTTAGCGGCAGGGCCGGGAATAAGATGCTTTGCAATCCTCTGTGCAATCAGTGAAGTGTATTCATGTGTGAGTGTAAAATTCAGCTCACGCAAAGGGCCAAAATTCTATGTTTATACCTTGTTTGAGGGACATTGTTTAAATTTAGGATTATGTACTTTATGACTCTGTATACATGGTGACGTGTTCACTTACACTAATAAAAAGCATATTTGCAGAGGTCAAAGCAAAAACCTTACCCGTATGATAAAACTACAGCTTCTCTGCTGTTGCTTGTTCTGGGCAATACTGTTCAGTCTGTACTCCAAAGAAACCCTAGTACTTTTTTGGCTATTGCTGTCTTTCTGCTCTTTACTCTTTTTCACCTTTGTCTTTTTGAGTTGTCATCTTTCTTTCCTTGTATTTCCTTCTCTGTGACGGCTTCATTTTTCTGAGCACACTAGGCTTCACCATCACCTTGTTCTTCAACTGTGATGTCGTGGTTTAACCCCAGCCCCCAACTAAGCACCACGCAGCTGCTCGCTCACTGCCACCATGGCAGGATGGGGAAGAGAATTGGAAGAGTAAAAGTGAGAAAACTCATGGGTTGAGATAAAGACAGTTTAATAGGTAAAGCGAAAGCCGCGCACCCAAGCAAAGCAAAACAAGGAATTCAGTCACCACTTCCCATGGGCAGGCAGGTGTTCAGCCATCTCCAGGAAAGCAGGGCTCAGTCATGTGTAATGGTTACTTGGGAAGACAAACGCTCTAAGTCTGAGCTTCCCCCTCTTCCTCCTCCTTCCCCCGGCTTTATATGCAGGGCATGACATCATATGCTTTGGAATATCCATTTGGTCAGTTGGGGTCAGCTGGCCCAGCTGTGTCCCCTCCCAGCTTCTTGTGCACCCCCCGCCTGCTCACTGGTGGCGCAGGGTGAGAAGCAGAAAAGGCCTTGACTCTGTGTAAGCCCTGCTCAGCAGTGACTAAAACATCCCTGCATTATCAACACTGTTTTCAGCACCAATCCAAAACACAGCCCCACACTAGCTACTCTGAAGAAAATTAACTATCCCAGTCAAAACCAGCACATGTAGCAAGGAAAAGATTTCTAAACCTTCTTACTCCCAAGCTATTCATCTGTAGTCTAAGACTATAATGGTTTTGTTGTGAAATGCATTTTCTGATATTGGCCAGAAACTGTAGTTTGGATCCCATCTTAAACAGCAGCCACTGGGCTGTTAAATTACCCCAGAGTGAAAAGTGGTGAAACCTGGCCCCCTCCAGGCCCCACAACTGCCTGACCCTAACCACTAATGTGATCAGTGACCAGCAGGGTTGACCCTGAAGGACTGCGAGAAGCTTGTATCTGTGACTTTTTTTCCTAGGCTCTGTGCAATCCCTAGCTGTTACTGTCCTGTGTGAAATTTTATCTTTGTAATCCGGACACCTCGAAAACAATGTATTTGCTTTTACGTAAAGCTCACATTATGGTAGTGCTATAAGTAACACGAAGTTTCTTATATCTTATCTGATATATGTGGCTAAAACAAGCTGTTTTAGGAAAGGTGATTAGGGTTTTAAACTTGTGTATTTCTTTTGTACTCAGCTGTCTGTGGTAGCTATTGGAATTAGCATCTATAGGACATCAACTGTTGATACGCTCCTGAAGAAGCTGCTGGAAGATCAGAACTCATTCCCCAACTTTGAACCTTTGGCATATTGGCAAATGCAATTCAACAACATTGCTGCAGTCACTGTGTTTTTTGTCTGGATTAAGGTAACTCCAAGACACACATCCTTATTACAACATTAGAATGTAAGCAGTATTCTAGTTTCGTGTGATATATTATTTGAGGTGTAGTCATGTTTCTACTAAAATTAGTCATGCGAGAAAGTCAGAGCACAGAGGTAATTTCTTGCACATTAAAAGCAAGGTTGTAGTTTGCCCCAGAAATCAAAAAGCAAAAGCTGGCTAAAGCTAACCCTTCTTTAAGTCTAGAAGATGTAGTCAGTGCTAGTGCTTTGTCACAGCAGACACATAAAGAAATACTATTATTCCTGAACTGCTAATTTGGTAATTCTTACTGGGTACTGCTTTTTCATAGCGTGGTTTAACTGTGCCCATTTTATCTATTCAAAACTTCTGAATCGTTAGAAGGGTTGGTAAAGCTAGTCCAATTAATTTGAAAACTAGATATTTAGTTAAACTTAGTTTCTGTGGGTTTTTTAGCACCTCCTTTCTAGTGATACTTCTTTTCATGTCCATATTCATTTTCCTGTCCTCTATGTGTATAAAGTTGCAGAGGAACATTTAGTTAATAAAGTGTCTAATGGGGGAAAATGTAAGACCAATGATAAGTGAATTTCCACTCTGATACTCCAAACTGATGCTTAGGTTTATCAAGCAAGTTAGCTAATCTCTTAGTGTTTTATAAGACAAAGTTGCATCTAATTTTTGCATCATGGTTTAAGAAATAAAGTGGCTCATTATAAAGAAATAATGGTAATCTGCAGAGTAACAGAGTAACACAGGTCAGAGTGGACCTTGGGAAGTCTCTAGTCCAGCCACCGGCTCAGAGCAAAGTCAGCTGCAAGATCTTCTTTTCTCACGTTTTACAACTTCATACCTAACATCTTAATTGAAGATAAAGATAAATAAATAGGCTTTTGGAAGCATTTCAGTAACACTGCTCTGAAGCCAGGGTGCCAAGCAGAGGAGTGAAAAAACAAACAAAACCCCACACTCAAATAAGAAGTTGGTGTTCTCACAGAATTTTCTTCACTTTTCAAGCCTCAGTGTTTTTAGGAAGTGATGTATTTCTAAATGTAAATTATCTGACTTTGTCTCCAGTCAAATTCAGTAAGACATCTCATGTGTAAAAGGCTAGAATGTGATTGTGTTAAGAAATTATTGTCTTCCTTATCTTTACAGTTTTTTTTTTTCTTTTTAACAGCTTTTCAAATTTGTTAACTTCAACAGAACAATGAGTCAGTTATCTACTACCATGTCTCGCTGTGTCAAAGATGTCATTGGCTTTGCTATTATGTTTTTTATTATTTTCTTAGCATATGCTCAGTTGGCCTATCTTGTCTTTGGCACTCAAATTGATGACTTCAGCACTTTCCAGGACTGCATGTAAGTACCAGAATAAAAAATGCGAAGAATTTCTCAGTACATTGGTAAATTGATTTGGTTGCCTCATCAGAGACCAAACAGATCCTATGACATCCATCTAAACAGATAAACTGCGGATGTATCACTGTTGATGTAGCTCAGTAGCAAATGCATTTTTTATACCATTTTTAGTTCAAAAGCTGTCTTTGCTGTGAGATTAAAAATATACTATAGTTAGATTGGTGAGCTAAAAATGGTAGGTTTTGGTTGGTGGAAGTGACATGGTTTTTAGAATAGTTGATCACATCTGTAGACAAAGCAGTAACTCTTGACTTCAGCAGTTAAATGATTATATGCTTACTGATGTTTGTAATGCTTGCTGAAGTGTATGTGTAATAACGCCGTGTTCCTGATAGCGTGTGTAGTTGGTTGACTACAAACAGAGTCCATCTTAGACAGCCAGCTAGTAAATTTGTAAGTATCTGCGGGAATCCAGGAGAGCGATAGGACTTAATATAGGGTTGTTATCAGTTTGTCCCTTATTGATTTGGTACAACATAACCTGATTCCAACTGAGCTAATTACCAGGTGGTTCAGTTATCGATTTCCCCCTGCCCCCTTACATCGGGGCAGTGTTGCAAAAGTTTCTTGTAGAGAAGCGGAGGAGAACTTGTGTTCCGTCACATTCTGTCATCGGAATGTGCCGATGGTGCTGTACAGGGCCAGGCCTCCTCCGGCCTTGGCACCGTGCAGACAGCTTTAGCGGGAGAGGGTTGGGGCTGCGTGTGCGCGAGAGGCAGAAGGAATGGAAGAGGGACAGGAGCAGGTCTTAAAGCTTCACAGTGGTAATCACTGGTTTGCTCTGCTTCCTGTTACTCCCATTATCACTTGTGACCAAAAGCCAGAAGTAACCACCTGGTTTTGCTCTCCGTGTCCAGCATCTGACTGTGAATTTGGGTATGCCTAGAGATGGGCTTGAGGAACGGACCGTTGCGGTGCTTGATAAAGTGTTAAGTAGTGCAGACCTCTCTGCTGCCCGTCAGTCAGACTGTTAGGGTAAAATAGATTGAGAATTCTTGCACAGCTCCAAAAGTGTTTTGTTTTGTTTTTTTTCAACTCCTGGATGTGTTTTGTTTTTTAAGATTTACTCAGTTCCGCATCATTTTGGGAGACTTCAACTTCACAGAGGTTGAAGAAGCTAATCGAATTTTGGGACCAATTTATTTCACTACATTTGTGTTCTTTATGTTCTTCATTCTTTTGGTATGTACGCCTTTGTTTATGCGGGGTGGGTAGGTGGCCATTTTCGCATCTCTTGTTCTTTGATTCC